GGAAGTATGGGCTGGATGAATGCACTACAAGGTGGGTAGAAAGCTGGCTAGATTGTCGGGCTCAACGGGTAGTTATCAATGGCTCCATGTCTAGTTGGCAGCCGGTATCAAGTGGAGTGCCCCAAGGGTCGGTCCTGGGGCCGGTTTTGTTCAATATCTCCATAAATGATCTGGAGGATGGTGTGGATTGCACTCTCAGCAAATTTGCGGATGATACTAAACTGGGAGGAGTGGTAGATACGCTGGAGGGGAGGGATAGGATACAGAAGGACCTAGACAAATTGGAGGATTGGGCCAAAAGAAATCTGATGAGGTTCAATAAGGATAAGTGCAGGGTCCTGCACTTAGGACGGAAGAACCCAATGCACAGCTACAGACTAGGGACCGAATGGCTAGGCAGCAGTTCTGCGGAAAAGGACCTAGGGGTGACAGTGGACGAGAAGCTGGATATGAGTCAGCAGTGTGCCCTTGTTGCCAAGAAGGCCAATGGCATTTTGGGATGCATAAGTAGGGGCATAGCGAGCAGATCGAGGGACGTGATCGTTCCCCTCTATTCGACATTGGTGAGGCCTCATCTGGAGTACTGTGTCCAGTTTTGGGCCCCACACTTCAAGAAGGATGTGGATAAATTGGAGAGAGTCCAGCGAAGGGCAACAAAAATGATTAGGGGTCTGGAACACATGAGTTATGAGGAGAGGCTGAGGGAGCTGGGATTGTTTAGCCTGCAGAAGAGAAGAATGAGGGGGGATTTGATAGCTGCTTTCAACTACCTGAAAGGGGGTTCCAAAGAGGATGGCTCTAGACTGTTCTCAATGGTAGCAGATGACAGAACGAGGAGTAATGGTCTCAAGCTGCAGTGGGGGAGGTTTAGATTGGATATTAGGAAAAACTTTTTCACTAAGAGGGTGGTGAAACACTGGAATGCGTTACCTAGGGAGGTGGTAGAATCTCCTTCCTTAGAGGTTTTTAAGGTCAGGCTTGACAAAGCCCTGGCTGGGATGATTTAACTGGGAATTGGTCCTGCTTCGAGCAGGGGGTTGGACTAGATGACCTTCTGGGGTCCCTTCCAACCCTTATATTCTATGATTCTATTTAGGTAAACACTACATTTGTCAATCTGCTTTGTTACATGTATGATTAAAATTTTAGAGCCAAACTTGAACTACTAGTTTCGGGATGTTCCTAGCACGACATTTGAGATCTTCAAGTCTATCACTGTGGAATAATAGATAATCTAACGTACACACTGTGGAGAGCTACCCTCTGTAATGATTACATTTTTCCCAAAGCTTACTACATTAAGTTTTAAAACACCTTATTACTTTACCTCTAGTACCAATTGGTCATTAAAATGAAATATGCATTACAGTACAAATCTTAACATATAAGTCATGCACTTTAACCTTGTTAATGTGCACTGTCTGAATGCACTATTTTTAGAAACACTTTAAGATGTTAAGATCAAGTATATACACTAAAGCTTACTGTAATAAAGCTACTTTTTCTACAATGACGGGAATCTGGAAGCTTACAGAAAAAAATTGTGCTTAGCTTATTTTTAGTTCCAGAAAATTGACCAAACTATTCAAAAAGTACTCTCATATAAACAAAAGGCTTCTTTATCAGTTTTGTATGTGAACGGCAGGAGGGAGGAAGAGATACTGTTTTTAATCACTCCAAATCTAAAGCTGCACCAGTTATTTCTCAGACTGTTTGGAAAAAACAAAAAGATCACATTTGTAACACTGAAGAAAACTGCATTGTAACAGAGAAAAGTAAAGAGCTGCAGAGAAGGAAAATGAATGAGGTTTAGCACTCAAGGAGGAGAAAGTCACCTGAGACCACACTGCAAGTAGCACTGGGGTTAGAGAATCTTGGAATTAAGCAAACCTTCCTCTTATCAGCACCCTTAACTTGGTGAGTAATAGTAAAACTGGATGATTAAAGGCCCTACCCACTTTGATCACAGCAATAGTGGCAGGAGAGAGACCACGGCTTGTGCTACATCTCAGAACTAGGAAGGTCAGGCGGCCTTCCCCTTTCTTCGCCATCTACCAAAAAGTTGAGCAGGAGGTGTAAAGGTGAAAACCAGACACTCATTTCCCAGCATTCATTCCTGTTTTGGGAATGTGGAAAACAGGACACAAATTCTCCCAACTTAAAGAAGCTGGTATGAAGGCAACATATCCCATTGGACTACCTCCAGCGGAGTCTGGTATCAAAGGACAGGCAACTGCAGGATCTAAAACTAAAAGCTATCAGCAGCGTCTTTCAAGTCTGATGTGCAAACTCCCTCTATTTTGAATCACCAGTTATATTCTCTCTCTTGTCTGGGAGGAGAAACAGAGGGGCTGTGGTAGAAAGCACTTCCAGATGATACGTACTAGAAGACAACCCAGAACAAGGCAGATATTTACATATTATGGTTTTTGGAGTTATTTTAGGCTTTGAAATGCAGTATTAGGCAGTTTCCAAAAAATATATGCAAATATACCAGGAGAGAAACATTCCTTGGGAGCATTTCTGGTCAGCCATCCATGCTATACAATACTCCTGGGGGAATTCTGCATCACTGTGCGCGTGTATGTTTTCATGTACCATGCACATTTTAAACATTTTTTGGTAGAAAATAGCTTCTGCTGAAAAGTTGCTGCAGTTTTGCCCACCAGAGGGCGCTGTGGCACTAGAGCACAGCAGCTGCTCCTGGCAAGCTCCAGCCAGGATAGGGAAGAGAAAGAGCCTGCCTTCTTCACAGTGCCTGTCGGACCAGGTCAGGAAATATGGGGAGATAGACAGCGTGGGACTGCTGGGGGTCAGATCGGGGCTCCTAAGGGCTAGTGGGGGAGGACAGACTGGGGCAGGGGCTGAATGGGAGTGGAGGCACAGGGATATGGGGGAGGGAGATGCAGAGGGGGAGGGGATGCAGAGCTACAGGGGGGAAGTGGATGGAGCGTGGGGGCACAGAAACACATGGGGACAGGGCAGATGTGCCTGAAAGAATGGTAGAGGCTAGGGGTCACTCAAGGTCTGCATGGGGACACTCCCTAACACTCCCTCCCGGCCCCCCCCAAATCTGTTCCATACTTTCCCCACCCATACCCAACACCCTTTAAGTTCACATCCAGGTTCCTCTCCAGCAATTTACTTCCCTCTCCCTCAGCTCTTCCATTACCCCTGATTCCCCCAAGTGTTTGCACTGCTTTTGAGGGGTGTGGGAAATAGTTCTGTATTGTTGTTTAATTACTGAGTTCTGTATTAATATGCCTAGTAAGGCATCTATTTGTCAAAAAACATTTCCTGAATCTTTTTTGTAGTATGCATTGTTACAGACATACTTGCTGACAGGTATTTTGAAATAAATTACCAAAATAAAATATGTAGAATTTTGCAGAATTAAAAAATATTTTTTGGGTGCAGAATTCCCCCCAGGAATAATACAATAAGCGTCTTTTCTACATGTCATTTAAGTCTAATGCTGCATGCTGACCATTTTTATTGAGAAAGGAACATCATACAAAGCTACTTGGATTAATGGCCTGCAAGACTTCAAAGTTAGATTTTCCCTGTACAAAGCATGGTAAAATGATTCAATTTAATCCTTTCGCTTTTACATTCAGTTTAGATACAGACCCACACCCTTTTGGAAAAACATTTAAACTGCACCAAGCCCCAAGATGCACTATCTTTAAATGTAGGATTAGAATTCCATTGAGGGGCTCTAGTATCTACCTCATGCACTCTAGCTGTGCTCATGTGCTGCCAATACCCTCTGGCACTATAATTCAGTTTCATTTTAATATTGAAACATTTATATTCTACCTGTGTTCTTTAACAAGTGAGGATTCAGGTATCCCTCAGTAATGCAGTTTTTGCCCATGGAATTGTAATAGATGTCTGACAAATAATTTTTTGTGTTGCTAGGTTTCTTGGGCCAAATCCTGTTCAGTTACACCCGTATAACCTTAAGCTCAATGGAGTTATTCTGGACTTACATTCTTGAGAAACCCTTTGACCCCCCTCCTTATTACATTCCTTTCAGAAATGCCCCCACTCCATAGGTCCTTAAGTGGCAATACATAAGCTATATAGATTTCCCACCACTCCTGGAGAGTGATGTGGATATCTAGGCTTCCTGCTGTCATTGGACTCTCTCTCCCACCGCCTTAGTATAGCTCTAATGGAGCCACGACAACAGGATTTCCTGTGCTGGCTGTTTTGCCCCACAATAAAGAGCTCAGGAGGGAGGTTCCAACATCCTAAACAACTCTGCACTAAAGTTAATATGACAGGCTGAATACCTGATGGTTTCCAGGGGCAGAGAGAAAAATGCATGTAGCCCACCTATATTCCATTTCCTCATGTATATAAATCACCAACACTATGAAATACCCTCAGTGGGATCTGACAACAGGGAGGATGGTACCCTATTGCAGGCCAGAGGGGAGACTTGTATGAAGAGACCCTCCAATTAGAACCATCAAGCCCTATGTTTAAAATCCCATAATACCATATATAGTTTTTTAGAATATTTAAAATAAATTTTAATGAAAATTCCACATTCAGCATAGTTGGTTGCACTTCCTAGATACCGTACATTTGAAACACTTGGCCGCACTGAACAGGTATGCATTCAGCAGCATCCATTACTTTTTATAGCCGATTGCTTTATTAGTAGCTAAAGCATTTTTGAGAAGTGCAGTCTAATGAGATTAAGCAATACCTTATAGAAACTGCTCTCATTACAGACACATGAAAGATCACCACAATGATTTCTCATGGACTCCTCACGCAGCATTAGAATCATTAAATAGAAGATGCACAGTTTTTCCAAACAAAAACAAACCCACTAACCTCATTGGCCCCCGCTTCTATACAACAGAAGTAGAAAAGGAAAAGAAAAGAACCAGAGAACACAGAAAAAAATTCCAAGATCCAAGGTCAGACAGCAGTCATTTCAGAGACTTAGCAGCAGCATTTTTAACCTACAAAGTAGGAAAAAATATAGTTGAGAGAAATTTATTTAAGAATGGTCAGAAAACAGGACAGATGCACTTCATTAAAACGTTCATTCCAAATCTGACAGATTAGTAAACGTAGGTAATGTCCTCACCGTACTTCAAGAATAATCATGTAAACACCCTGTAGAGTGTGGCAAACGTAGTGAAGAAGGAAAATCAGTGACAGTGCCAGTGGCTTTGTATTTCAGGTCATAAACATAACCTAGTGTGCAATTAACACAAACACGACAAAGCCTAACTCAGTTAACAAGTTTTAGTTAATATGATTAAAAAAATAAAATATAATTGCTTTTAGTGCAACATTTATTATATCAAACATAAGTAGATCATGCTTTGGAAATTTACTGTTACATTATATACAGTATACAGCAATACTTTAAAGGTGAGTGACAAAAATATGTAACGGAAAATGGTTTACATACAGGTGAGTCTTAGTATTGTCCACTGAATTGTCAGGTTTGTTTTGCAGTCTGCTGTGTCATATGCACATTCTTGCCTACCACCATACAGAACTGTTTTTCCAGCAGTGGCTTTTCTGTTCACATACGTTAGTAAAGATGTTTTTAAAAAACTGCATAGCCTTCAAGCTTTGTCAGTTGTTGCTACAAACACCAATTGCATGGACATCTGAAAAATACAAAAGAACATATCATTGCTGTGAACATTTTATGGAAATTTAAGCTTTCTAAGTTTAGGGGGGAAAAAAAAGGTTCAAATCCTGCAATTGGATCCATGCACATGCACCCTTGCGAAGCCCCATTGAAGTTCCTGGGACTTCAGATGGATGCATTCTTCAAGTCATTTGCAAACTCAGGATCCCTCAAGCTGCATCCTCCTTCTAGTTTTCCTTCATTTAAAGAGCACAAAGCCCTTTAAAGTCCTTTGATTGAGGGATTGCCAACTCACAGATTACACTAGGAATAGAAAGTTTCATTTTAGGATTTAAGGATGACAGTTGATTGAAGAAATCAATATTTGCAAATTTTTAAAACTTTGCTCTCTTTCTTAAGTTTCAACCTCCTCTGTTCAGATTTCTGCTAGCAACTTGAATGAAGAGGATGTGTACTACTCATACTATATCACACGCAGGCCAAAATGAATGCAGAGAAAATAATTCAGTTATTGCGTTTCAAAGACCAGTTTTATTTTTAATACATCTGCAGCTCAGAGCAAGTGGGTGGCTCTCTTCAAAAACCATCTGTTTATTGCACCAAATGCAGCATGTATTGATTACCTGCCCTATGAGCAGGTGACGTATGTGTGCATTTGGTGCAAGGAGCTCCTGGCTCTCCGAGACTGTGTACGGGCTTTGGAGATCAGGGTGGCTGAGCTGGAAGAGCTAAGGGAGACAGAGAGGTACATAGATGAGACTTTCCAGGACACAGTAGAATGGTCCCACCCCCCCGTCTGACAGCCTCTGTGTTATTGAGGAGGATGAAAGTCTCCAGGAAGGAGGACATCCAACTGAAGCAGAGGGAAATGATCCTGTAGTTGGGACCCTCCTTCCAGATGAGGATACCTCTCCAAGGGAGGGAACTCCAGTTATTAGGAAGAGACAGGTATTAGTAATGGCCGATTCTAATCATTAGAAACAGATAGCTGGGTTTGCGATGACCAAGAGAACCACTTGGTGACTTGCCTGCCTGGTGCAAAGGTTGCGGATCTCTCATGACATCTAGATAGACTTATGTGTAGTGCTGGGGAGGAGCTGGTGGTCGTGGTACATGTAGGTACCAGTGACATGCGAAGGATGGGAGGGAGGACCTGGAGGCCAAATTTAGGCTGCTAGGTAAGAAATTGAAGTCCAGGAGCTCCATGGTAGCAGTCTCTGAAATGCTTCCAGTTCCACACGCAGGGCCAGTTAGACAGGAAGAACTGCAGGGTCTCAATGTGTGGATGAGACAATGGTGTAGGTAGGAGGGGGGGAGGGTTAGATTTACTACGAACTGGGTAAACTTTTGGGAAAGGGGGAGCCTATACAGGATGGATAGGTTCCACCTAAACCAAAATGGAACCAGATTGCTGGCATTTAGTTTAAAAACTGTTCAATGACCTTTTTAATTTTAAAGGGATGGGGGAAAGCTGACAGGTGCGGAAGAGCACATGGTTCGGACAGAGACATCCCTTAGCGGGAGGATATATAAATGAAGATTCTCTATGTCCTAGTAAGGAGGAGAGGATGGAAGATGATAAAATACAGGTAGGATCTGATGAGAAACAGTCAAATGAAAAAAGTCTCATTCAATTACATCACATAAAAGTGGCAGACATCTAAAAAGTGACAAGTTTTTAAAGTGCTTATATGCCAATGCTAGAAGTCTAAATAATAAGATGGATGAACTAGAGCGCCTCGTATTAAATGAAAATATTTATATAATAGGCATCACAAACACTTGGCAGAATGAGAGTAATCAATGGGACACAGTAATACCAGGGTACAAAATATACTGGAAGGACAGAACAGGTTCTGCTAGTGGGGGAGTGGCACCACACGTGAAAGAAAGCGTAGAATCAAATGAAGTCAAAATCTTAAATGAACCAATGTACCACAGAATCTAAGGATAGTAATTTCATGATTGAATAAGAATAATATAGCAGTAGGGATATATTACCGACCACCTGACCAGGATGGTGATAGGGACTGTGAAATGCTCAGGGAGATTAGAGAGGCTATTAAAATAAAAAAAACTCAATAATAATAGGGGATTTTAACTAGCCACATATTGACTGGGTGCATAATCACCTCAAGATGGGATGCAGAGATAAAGTTTCTTGACACCTTAAATGCATCTTGGACCAGCTAGTCCTGGAACCCACAAGAGAAGAGGCCATTCTTGATTTAGGACCAAGTGGAGCACAGGATCTGGTCCAAGAGGTGAATATAGCTGGACTGCCTGATAATAATGACCATAATATAATTAAATTTAACATCCCTGTGGCAGGGAAAACACTACAGCAGCCCAACACTGTAGCATTTAATTTCAGAAAGGGTAACTACACAAAAATGAGGAGGTTAGCTAAACAGAAATTAAAAAGGTACAGTGCCTTAAGTGAAAGCCCTGCAAGCTGCATGGAAACCTTTTAAAGGCACCATAATAGAGGCTCAACTTAAATGTATACCCAAATTAAAAAAACAAATTAAGAGAATTAAAAAAGTGCCACCATGGCTAAACAACAGGTAAAAGAAGCAGTGAGAGGCAAAAAGGCATCCTTTAAAAAGTGGAAGTTAAATCCTAGTGAGGAAACTAGAAAGGAGCATAAACTCTGGCAAATGAAGTGTAAAACTATAATTAGGAAGGCCAAAAAAGAATTTGAAGAACAGCTAGCCAAAGACTCAAAAAAGGAATACAATTTTTTTTTTTTTTTTTTTAAAAAAGGACATTAGAAGCAGGAACCCTGCTAAACCACCAGTGGGGCCACTGGACGATCAAGATGCTAAAGGAGCACTCAAGGACGATAAGGTAATTGCGGAGAAACTAAATGAATTCTTTGCATCAGTCTTCACGGTTGAGGATGTGAGGGAGATTCCCAAACCTGAGCCATTCTTTTTAGGTGACAAATCTGAGGAACTGTTCCAGATTGAGGTGTCATTAGCGGAGGTTTTGCAACAAACTGATAAATTTAACAGCAAGAAGTCACCAGGACCAGATGATATTCACCAAAGAGTTCTGAGGAACTCAAATGTGAAATTGCAGAACTAACTAACTATAGTTTGTAACCTATCATTTAAATCCACTTCTGTACCAAATGACTGGAGGATAGCTAACGTGATGCCAATTTTTAAAAAGGGCTCCAGAAGCGATCCCAGCAATTGCAGGCCAGTAAGCCTGATTTCAGTACCGGGCAAACTAGTTGAAACAATAGTAAAAACAAAATTGTCAGACACATAGAAGAACATAATTTGTTGGGGAAGAGTCAACATGGTTTTTGTAAAGGGAAATCATGCCTCAATCTACTAGAATTCTTTGAGGGGGGTCAACAAGCATGTGGAAAAGGGTGATCCAGTGGATATAGTGTGCTTAGATTTTCAGAAAGCCGTTCACAAAGTCCCTCACCAAAGACTCTTAAGCAAAGTAAGCGGTCATGGGAAGGTCTTCTCATGGATTGGTAAACTGGTTAAAAGATAGGAAACAAAGGCTAGGAATTAATGGTCAGTTTTCAGAATGGAGAGGGGTAAATAGTGGTGTTCCCCTGTGGTCTGTACTGGGATCAGTCCTATTCAACATATTCACAAATCATCAGGAAAAAGGGGTAAACAGTGAGGTGACAAAATTTGCAGAGGATACAAAACTACTCAAGATAGTTAAGTCCCAGGCAGAATGAGAAGAGCTACAAAAGGATCTCTCAAAACTGGGTGAATGGGCAACAAAATGGCAGATGAAATTCAATGTTGATAAAGGCAAAGTAATGCACATTGGAAAATATAATCCCAACTATACATATAAAATGATGGGGTCTAAATTAGCTGTTACTACTCAAGAAAGATCTTGGAGTCATTGTGGATAGTTCTCTGAAAACATCCACTCAATGTGCAGCAGCAATCAAAAAAGCAAACAGAATGTTGGGAATCATTAAGAAAGGGCTAGATAATAAGACAGAAAATATATTGCTTCTATAAATCCATGGTATGCCCACATATTGAATACTGTGTGCAGATGTGGTCACCACATCTCAAAAAAGATATATTGGAATTGGAAAAGGTTCAGAAAAGGGCAACTAAAATGATTAGGGGTATGGAACGGCTTCCTTATGAGGAGAGATTAGTAAGACAGGGACTTTCAGGTTGGAAAAGAGATAATTAAGGGGAGATATGATTGAGGTCTATAAAATCATGACTGGTGTAGAGAAAGTAAATAAGGAAGTGTTATTATGTAACACAAGAACTAGGGGGTCACCAAATGAAATTAATAGGGAGCAGGTTTAAAACAAAAGGAAGTATTTCTTCACACAGCGCACAACCTGTGGAACTCTTTGCCAGAGGATGTTGTGAAGGCCAAGACTATAACATGGTTAAAAAAATAATTAGATAAATTCATGGAGGATAGGTCCATCACTGGCTATTAGCCAGGATGGGCAGGAATGGTGTCCCTAGCCTCTGTTTGCCAGAAGCTGGGAATGGGTGACAGGATGGAGCACTTGAAGATTATTTGTTCTGTTTATTCCCTCTGGGGCACCTGGCATTGGCCACTGTCGGAAGACGGGATACTGTGCTATATGGACCCTTGGTCTGACCCAGTATGGCCGTTCTTAGGTTGGATGGACAGCTAGATGAAAAAAGCCCTCAAGAAAACCCTAGATAGTTGAAGGAAACTGGAGAGTGGGAGAAATGCTCCTGAGGAAGTTAAGCAAACAAACCAGCTTGCTGAGCTCCCTAAAGTAGAGCATCTGACTTCCACCCATCTGTAAGCCCCTGTGTGCTACTGGAAGGAGGAGAGGAAACAGGCTTGTCTATCAATAGCTCTCCCTCTCCAGCCTGGCACACCTCCAGAGTTGGGAAGCATCAACTCTGATTCTGAGAAGGGCTGGCCAAACACAGCTCATTGCCTCCCTTTTTGTTTCAAGAGCCATGCGAAGAGCAGGCAGGAAACAGTCAGGCATTCTTGCAAGGAGAAATCAGCTGCTGATCTTCATTGGAACATGCCCGTCATTTCCACAGTCTGCTTGAGAACTCCTGAAAAGAGAGTGAGGGATGTTACATTCTAGCCTCCCTTTCTGTCTCCCAGAGACATCTGTCAGACTGGTGCTCCCCCATATGCTGCAAATTACTTTAGACAACAGCCTGAAGTGGTAACTCTGTCTTACACCAGCAAAAGGGAAGAAGCATTTGCTGCATTTCTGCTCAAGGGATGCAAGACACCTAAGGCTATTCTTCCTAGAAGGAAGAGGAGAATGTTTGGAACAACATATTATATTTTAATTCATTTTAAAGACCAAGTTTGATTTTTAACATTTACTTTAAAAAAAACTGATTATGAAAAAAGCCTTTGATAGATATGGACGTGTACCCTATGTTTTTTTGAATTCTGATTTCTAGAAATATTTTCATATGACACCGTGGAAATGGTTTGCACTTCTGTACAGTACAGATGTCTATTAAAAAGTTAGAACATATTTCATGGCAGCAGAATAGTGCAAAGAGCAGGGCCTTTGATTATTTTTATTCTATAGAATTTCTCAATCATTTCATATTTCAACAGTTGACGCATGGAACCTACCTCTACTTGAAGAGGAAAATGGCAGCACAAATGAACCTTTGCATATTACTTTATTGTTCAACGGTTTTGTAACCCAAGAACCCCACAACACTAACTGGCAAGGAGGTTACAAGAATATCCTGATCATGATACACAGGTTCTGGTTCACCAAAGAATGTTATGTGAAGTCTTAAATGAAATCTAGGCTCATATTGGTCATTGTTGTTGTTGTGAAATGTATGTACAGACACCATGAAGAGCTGTGTATGGGTACTGAAAATAAGTTCTTAGATTCTGTGTCATAGCAGAGGTGGAAAAACAGGTTTCCTGTCAGACAGAACATGTTTATTCATGTGCCTCTGTTGCCATGTAAATTAAGCATTTTAAGTTAACACAATGGATGCACATTTACATATGAAGTCAACAGAGAGATATGCAAGTCAACAGAGAAGAGAGGAAAAACAAGTGATGCGGATATACTGTTTCTAAGTACAGACAATGAACTTTGGGGACATAAGTAAAAGGAAAGGAAGACACCCCCTTATCCTGCACCTAGGAAGTAAAGTGCATTTACATTCAGGAAAACAGGATCACAACCAGCCTTGGTTAAAGAAGCTGCAAATGGCTCTGGATTAGATAAAACTTCGTTAGACAAAAGTTGAACATAATAGTTAAGTTTAGTACCTAGAAAACATGTAATTTTGTTTTTTATGTAGCCCTTCTTTATCCATTATCATTACTCCCCAACTCTTGAATCTTTAATAAACCTATTGCTGTTTTCACTATAACAGTATCTCAGTACTGAGGTATTAAGCAAGGTGTTGATCCTGAGCTGCATCATATAAGCTGGTGTGTACACTGTTCCCTTGGGGACCACAGACCTGGTATTTCTGTGAGTGTTCACTAGACAAGGAGCTGGACACTACAGGAACACATCAAAAGAACTCAGGGACGGGAGTACACCTATTCTTAACTTGCAAGGTAAAGGAACATAGGAATGGCCATATGGCTCAGACCAATGGTGCACCTAGTCCAGAATGCTGTCTTTAGATAGTGGCTGGTGCCAGATGCTTCAGAGGGAATGAAACAGAACATCAAGGGATATCTGCCATCATCCAGTCCCAGCTTCTGGCAGTCAGAGGTTTAGGGACACCCAAAGCATGGGGTTCCTTGCCCAACCATCTTGGCTAATAGCCATAGATGGACCCATCCTCCATGAACTTAGCTAATTATTTTTTGAACCCAGTTATATTTCTAGCCTTCACAACATCCCCTGGCAATGAGTTCAACAGCCTGACTGTGTAAAGAAACACTTTCTTACGTTGTTTTAACCCTGCTGCCTTTCAATTTCATTGGGTGACGTCTGGTTCTTGTGTTACATGAAGGGGTAAATAATACTTCCTTATTCATTTTCACCACACCATTCATGATTTTATAGATCTCTATCATATTCCGCCCTTGGTCATCTCTTGTCTAAGGTGAACAGTTCCAGTCTTTTTAATTTCTTCTCATATGGAAGCTGTTGCTTACCTCTAATAAGTTTTGTTGCACTCGTCTGTACTTTTTCCAATTCTAATATATCTTTTTGAGATGGGGTAACCAGAACAGCAGACAGTATTCAAGGTGTGGGCACACCACGCATTTATATAGTGGCATTACGGTATTTATTGTCTTATCTATCCCATTCCTAACATTTATCTTTGTGACTGCCACTGCACATTGAGCAGATTTTTCAGAGAACTATGTGGAAAGGGCTGGCATTGCCCAGAGAAGTGTGCATGGGTGACGAACAGGTTGGAGGTGTCAGGGAGCTGACATCCAGCTAAGAGCAAGCAACTCTACCTCATACTGGAGGCAAGGGGGGAGGGGTGACAACTCACCTTGGTACCCCCAAAACCAAACAAGTTAGCTGTGAAAAAGTCCAACACCACAAAATATGAAGGCTCTGTATGGCGGCATCAATATAATAAACTAATGAGGTAGAGCAACCTACCAAAGATGCTCATTCTCAATTTCTATGGCTTACCTTTTGTTTCTAGAACAAGTGTTCAATTTTTTTTGTTGTGTTTTCTTTAACAGCCACATTCTTGAGCACTTTGAGCCTGTGCTCTACGTGGGGATCTCAGCTGTCTCAAGGCAGCATCTCCATACTGAATTCCTGAGCCCATCCTTTCTGGATCCAGTTCACCTGACGAGAAACAAAATGGCCTTATAAGTTATCCTCATTTGTAGATAACAGATTACAAGTAAAAATAGCTAACACTAGATAAAGTTATTAGCATTTATGTTTTCCTATCCCAGTTATAAAGAACAGGATCAAAGTTTTATCATTCAGATAATTCCATCTCATTTCCCACAGTAGTTTCAAATTGTCCAGTCCTTGAACAGAACTGAAGCAGTGCATCTTACAAGTGACTTAGGGCTTGTCTACATGGGGAAAAAGCCCACAGCGGTTAGTGTGTACTAGTTCCCTGTGGGAACACTTACACTGCGCACTAAAAGTGCCTTGTGCATAGTAGCTCTCTGCCTGCCCAAAGTGCAGTGTCTCTCTACACTGCAGGATTTTTTTTGGCAGTGGGCACACACGCACAGCCCTCCTAGTATGGGTATAAATAGCAGTGCAGATGGCAAGGCATGGATTAAGCCAGTAGAGTAGACACCTGAAGTGTGTGGATATGTACCCCAAGTACATTCCCTACATGTTCTCTACTGGCCCAAGCTGCGCCACCCATCTACACTGCTAAATGTAGCAGTGTAGTGTCTTGCTGCGGGAACCTTTCCCTCTGCAGTAAAAGGCTGTGGCAGTGGGCAGGTGGCAGGGAAAGGCTGCCAGCTCCTGCCATTGGAGCCCTTCTCTTCAGGGAAAGATTCCAGCAGCAGGAAAAGGCTCGGGGGGGAGGGTGGAGAGAGGCAGCAGGGAAAGGCTTTGGCGGGGCGGAGGCAGCAAGGAAAGGCTCTGGCAGCAGGGAGCAGCTGAAGCCTTTTCCCATGGCCTCCCCGCTCCCAGAGGCTTTCACTAACTTGGGTAGCTATGCACTGCAGTGTTGACACAGTGTGCCTTCCCTGGTGGCATTTAGCTACATGTACACTACATGCCACTGAAAAGTGGTGTGTAATGTAGATGTGGCCTTAGTATGCAGTAGAGTGTGTCCACATGGGGAGATTTGTGCAAAATAGCTAATGCACTTTAAATTCACACTCTAGCTTACTGTGCACTAACTTCCCTGTGCAGACAAACCCTCTGACTGCAGCAAGAGGTCTTTTCCGTTATAGAGGTAGTTAAAGTCCAAAATAACTAACGTTTGCTTTACAGTTCCAATTTCATTCTGAGAAAAAAAAAAAAAAAAAAGGTTACCCAATTTTAGAGACTAGTTTTCAAACAAACAAGGATCAAAAGTACCACAGTAAACCAGGGATAGATAGATCAGTTTGATACACTAGGTGTGAGCTTTCTGTTTTGGTCCATTTTAATTTAAAATACAAATAACAAATGGAGTTTTGGCCTTGATTGAGTTAAAAAGGAACAGAGGAATTTACACTAAAGAGTTCCTGAACATTCAAAATACGTCCTTGGAATTCAAAACATGGAAACTGGCTCCCTACTAGACTGAGCTTCCTGATTTTGCCAATTTTAAAAAGTTATTTTATGGAGGCACCAAGTAGACTAGAAAGTGGATTTGCTGCCATGACTATTACCATAATCAAGTCTCACTTGTACTATGAGGCACCTTGTGTATTCTGGAGCCTGCAAAAATAAAAATGAATAAGCTGACCTCAGCCAGAAGCCATTCAGGTCAATCAGAGCACTTCTATAGCAAGGCAAGGTCTCATATGTAAGTATATGATCTATTTAATCACCTTGATATTATTATTCCCTACCTATATAAAAGCAGGTGCAAAAGTGATCTGAAGAGTCATATCTGCTCTGATAGTGATGCAGCATAGAAAGCTGCTAAAACTTAAGTCTTCCTAATTCAGAGGCTCTGTTCTTGTGAAGACAAACAAGGCCACAGAGCATGCAGCCTGCAACCAAAAAGCTGAATATTAAGTCTAACATTAAGAAACTCTATGGAGGTACAGTCTCCTTTTGATGAATGCAATTAAATTTAATGTTCATTCCTGTTAACATATATGGGGAGGTAAGAGGTGGATAAACAGAAAGGGACATTTTTCTACAACAAAAGAATGTACACATTTAATCTATTCATACGTGTAATCTGTTTCATAGATTTACTGATGCACTGTGACTAAACTTTTACTATAAGGAAATTCCAAAGCTGTGAGATTCTGTAGTTTTCACTGTGGGACAAGAAGTGAAAATACATTCTAACAATCAATCTTTATTTCAATTTACCTGATTCAATTTTATTAAGTATTTTTCTTGCACACTGTACAAAGGCCTCTTCAACATTCTCCCCGGTTAGTGCACTTGTTTCCAAAAACATCAGCTCTGCATTTAATGCCAGAAAAATAAAATCTCAGGTCATTAAAACTTTGAAATACTCTTTACTGTACTTGAAACAAGAAAAAGTTTGTCAGAACAGTAAGAATGTCTTTTAAACAGAAGCTATTTTTAAGTGAGACTCTGAAGCAGTTTAGCCTCCCTCCCATACAAAAAAAAAAATTAGGTTCTGAAGGTAGAAGTCCTAGAACATACTGAATATTGACATATTCATGATTATATGCAATTGAAAAATTGTTTTGGTTTGAGATTTAAACATTCTCCCTCAAGTGCTGCAAACTCAAATGGAACAGCATTCTGCTTGTGCATGGGAACCGGAAAATGAAGCCAACTGCACAGGCCCATCTAGTTTTACTGTTCAAAGCAAGTGGAGGATAAAAATCAGCCAGCATTTATGGTAACACATTAGATTTATCAAGAGGTTTTAGTAATACAGATATGGACTCTTTCATTGATTGTGTTCTATGTTCCTTTAACTCACCATGCTGTTATTCAGCACAAGTGTTTTCCAGTGAATATTTTAAAAAATGCCCTAAAAGCTGCAAGCATGGTGCCAGAGAGGAAACGGTGATGTGAGCACCAAACTATGAAGCTGCTCCAAGCCAAACCTAAAATACACTTATTTTGAGCAATTTTTAAAATCTCTAATGGAAGGGAGATTAAATCGGTGGCTAATATTTCCCAAATAGGTCAACACAACATTACATTCACCAAATAGATATTTGATCATACACAAATTAAAAATGCTGTTCTAGACTACAAAAGACTGCATATTGTCTCTATGGCACCATGAGCTAGTTCTTGGATGAAAATTCAGCTTACCACTTTATCTCAAATATGATAGCAATACAGTTATTTGGAAGTTTACTGCATCTTTATCCAGTCCTCTGAAGTGAACTTTACCTGGGAATACCCTCTCCTCACCTTTCAGTTATAAAATTCAAATTTTAAGATTGAGAGAGAAAGCTATTCAGAAAATCCATCCCTCAATAAAAGGTCTACTTAGGAAAGATTTGTTTTAAAGGTGGAAGGGGAATAGCAGGGAAACCCCACCATTCTTCTCAGCCGTAGCCCAAGATACCTTCACCCACTATCCAAACCAAGGGCATATTTGCATTTTGGCTAGACAATACCAACTTGATTTGTTCCAGCGGCTAAAGGACTGTCACTTTATAGGATTTGCTGGGTTGCCTTGTCCGTCCTGATTTTCTTAGGAGATGTTGCCTGCCTGCCTGCCTGCCTACCATTCATGTTACATTTCAAAGCTTAACTTCCCTTTACAAGGTTAATCAATGCTGCTCCACAGTGGCTTAAAGCAAGTACTGTACTATATGTTATCACCAGTTAACAGAGCAAGTTACACAACTGTTTTCCTCTTTGTGAGAAACAACGTTTGAAGTCACTCCCCACACTCAGATCCTCACATAATGTTGCACTGCCTGCAATTTTTGGATCATAGCAAAATCATGTAGGAGACTGAAAAACAATTAAGATTGGATTTTTGAGACCAGGTCTTGGTGTGTTTTTTTGTTTTTGTTTTTTTTAAAAGAACACTGTTCCGTCTTCCTTCCCTTTCTCTCCTTAAATTGCAGAAAAGAATCAGCTGGCCTATAACTTTCATATTTTTGCCCAGGTAATGCTCTTTCAGATCCATGCAGGGAGGGGAACCTCCATGCCTGGATCTCACCCCTCCCACATGGAAGCTGCCTTTGTGCACCATCCTACCCCAAGAACCTGCAAAAGGATCTCCATAGGAGAGGGATCCTCACAGGGGGAAAAGAGTGGGAGCTAGAAGATCCCATTCATCATTCTCTCCCCAGCCCTACGAAGATATAGCCTGGAGCTGCGTTGCCTGTATTTCTGCCATATTATTTTCTCAGTGGATCTTCTCTGTGGTTAGAAACCCTCCTTTAAGAGGACCCGGAGAGTAGTTATGTGTAGGTGGAATCCTTGATAGTGTGGTTTCAATGCAGCTGTGCTATTAGGGAACAGGAAGTAGGGGATGAAGCACCTGAGGCACACAGCCCTTACATGGATGGTTCTAGCCTCCCATGGATTCCTGGGAACAAGGGGGCTTTGTGGGCCATCTTTTTGGCCTTTTCTGTTGTCAGGGAAGAGAGTTCTGTTCACTGACTCTCTCAGGAAACTACATGATGGGATCCTCAGGGAATGAAATTTCCTCCCTCCTTCCCCTTTACTTCAGCGAAGCCCTCTGTATTTAATACTAGATTAAAGGGAAGGGGCATTACACTGACAATAGTATTAGGATTTTAACAAGGTTTGTAAGTGGGCAAACGTTAGTTCCTTAGACACAAAAGCTGAATAATTTCAAGTAAAAAAAATACATCTTCAATACCAGATTAGACAGACTACCTACCATTTTCTTGTGCAAACCTGGATGCTTCTAAAAAAGTAACTTCACGATCTGCATCGAGATCCTTTTTGTTCCCACACAGTATGATCACAATATTTTGACTTGCTAACATCCTTGCATCTGTCAACCAATTAGTAAGTGCGTTGTAGGTTTCTCGGCTGCGTAACACAAAAACAGTTCAATAATATACAATTACAAATATTTCTATAAACTTCTGGACCAGAGTGGCCTAAAGGATAGAACTCAAGAGATCAGGGTTCTATTCCTGTCTCTGGTCACTGGCATGTTGGGTGACCTTGGACAAAATCACTTCACCTCAGTTTCCCCATTTTGAAAACGGGGATAAAATTGATCTCCTTTGTAAAGCATGTTGAGATCTACATATGAAGAGCATAACAAGAGGTTATTTACTGTCACCAGAGTTTTGCGATAGACTGAATATTCACACTCATGAGATATGTCAATGGTGCAGCTCTGATAAGTGAATTCTTTTGATAGAACTTGTTGGAGCACTCACATCCTCCTACTCTTCTTTTCACTGTTCCTCAACATTGAGTCAGAGATTATAAAAGGGGGCATGATGTTCTGGCCACCTCACTTCCTTCTACTGCCCTCTGAAGAATTCAGTTAGAACTCCAAGGAAGAGGGGAAGTTTATAGCTGAAGACAAATTTTTAAAAATGTGTCCTTTGGCAGAAAGGCTGTTCCTACCAGAGTCTTCAGAATCACTCCTATGAAGAGGATCCTTTGAGTGGAAAGCAAAAGTGACAGTCTCTTTTATCATGAGTCTTAGTCTGCCAAGAAGGCAGGCCGGTTGTGTGGAAATAGCCTTGGAAAGGCTTAATTTTGAGGATGCTTTGATTAGCCAATTGTTTAAGGACAGGTATGCATGAATCTCCACTCTAAATGCACTGCCAACTGCAGACAGGCACTTGGGGACAGTAAACACACCACATGAGAGAATGTGGTACTGGAAATGGTTCTTCCTCCTCACTACAAAATGAAGATATTTTCTGTGCATTTGAAACATGCATCCTTGAGATGGAGCGCTCCAAACCAATCTTGAAGGGCAAGGGAAGGTATAATAGATGCTAGGGTTAACATCCAGAATATAAACTTTCCTGAGGTTCAATATAGATCATAGATCTCTCTCTGGGATCAGTAAATATCTTGAGTAAAAACCTCTTCCTCTGAACTCCTTTGGCACTTCTTCTATGGCCCTCATCTCCAAAAGAAAGGGAGAGAGCGCCTCTGTTCATAGCAGGCTTTCATAAATAAGAGGGACTCCTGAATAATCTATTGTATATAGATTCTTATACTACGCTCATCACCATAGTATCTGAGTGCTTTCTGGTAGTGCATTAAACAATGTGACTACATACCTGTCACATGTTTATTCTCTCATCCTGTCCCTGGGGGGAAAGCATGTGAAGTGGAATGTCTTGTTTTGGTAGGGTGGTTTTAAAAAATATAAATCTACCTCTCGCTATGTGAATAGGGAAGGAGGGGGTGAAGGATTTGAATTGGCTCACACATCCACTTTGTATCATTTCCAAATGCCCACTTTGGACTGGGATAACCAGACACAACATTTTGAAAATTATATAGGTGGTATCCAAATGAGGCTATGGGGGGAGAGGAGGGAGATATGGTTCCATATTGGTTCATCGTTCTTGATCCTCAGATCAAGTCTGTGGCCTCAGGTCTGACCCAGAAAAAGTCATTGAGTCTTCCTGATCTTTTACTGGTAGCTTATCAAGGAGTACCCGTTGATGTTGGTATTGTAACCTTTGATTAAAACAGGAGGAACTAGATGAAAATGGATATTTTTTGTCTGTTACCTAAAGACTTACCTCAGGTTTCCATTGGGAGGTTGGTATACTCCCAAGGACATAGCAGTAGGCCTAGTATCCTTCGTTTTAGTGGAGAATAAGCTATCACACTTCAAACAGGAGGTTCTTTACTTTTACTTTTGTCTCTGAAGACAGACTGAGCAAAGTGTGATGTTTAAGAAACTGCTGAGGCTACTGCTCTTCCAAATGCATCAGAGGAATCGAATGCTGCAATCAGTGTTTTGCCATTAACTGTTCCTCTGATATCAATGCATTAACCAGCTTTCTCTAATCTTCTGGAAGAGATCTTTAAATATCACCATCTTTTCCTAAAGATGCAACTAGTACCTTGCCATTGTATTCTTGGTAATTGGATACTCCGATGCCAAGTATTGCCAACAAGAAGATTTTTCTGCCAGTTAAATTTATCATCTTTCCTTCTGTCTGCTGGTGTAAAGTCAACTTGATGGGCCTTTGAGCTTTGAACTGCAGCCCCAACTAGCGTGAATGTGAAAATAAAGTTTTCTTAAGGAACCTAATAATAGTTTATCTCCCTACTTGGACACAGCCTGTATTGATGCAGGCTTGGACCGTATGTTTTTGGCTGGCTCTAAAAGCTCATTCAATAGCAGCAATGTAGTCACCTTCTTAGAACCAAGGATATCAAATTTAGGCTGTAGAATTTTTCCACTGCCACAGGAGGAATTTTAAGAGTTGTTGCAATTCTTCCTATTAATTTTTAAAACAAGACTGTATCCTCTGAAAGGCAATGCTAATGCCATGTCCTCCAGCTCTGGAGAGATCTCTTGATATACTCTGGTAGTGCTGAAAGCTTATCTGGAATAATAACTGGAGACTGGTCCTTCTCTCTAGAAGCTGACAGATCCCGGATCTTTGGAGCCAATAAGAGATCTCCCTTAGTTTCTTCATATAGTGAGACTGCTGAGTGTCAGGGTCATGCCCAGAAGGATAACACGAGGGCCATCTAGCCCAGGGAGGTATACAATAATCTTGCCAATAGTTCATTCTAGGCTCTATTTCATATCACCTGTCAGGGTATGGTGCTTGCTTAAATGATGGGTGTTTAGCAGTATACCCTTGCTTGTGGGTATTGCTGGTGAAATAAAAGTGGTGTAGCTTGTTCCATTCTAATTCGTTCATGTCTTGCACACAACCAAGTTACTGCTTTGAGTAACCTAGTGGTCTTGTACACTACAATCATATCGGTATTTATTTTTGTGGAAGTTTTCAGTGGGGTTTAGAAATTAGCAATAAGAGCTCACTTTGGAATGAAGTTTAGCACAAGAGCTTTAGACTAGTAGTTTTTTTGATGAACTCATGTGTACACCAGTAAACTGCTAGTGAAGTATAATGACATAACTATGAAACGTTCTGTATATATTCTCATGTTTGTGGTAATACAAAATTCCTCTAGCTAAACATTGAATAGCTATTTTTTTTTTTTTAACAGCACCTATTGCCATATTAAGCAAGAACACCACCTCTAAAGAATTTTTAAGGATTTATATAAGTCAGTTACACTCCGATCAGACTGGTGTTCCACAAGAATTTGGTTATAAAATGTCAGAGGGGAGAAGACAGTTGATCCTAAAAAATCAGTGCATCTAAAAGTTAACATAGCTATCTGATTAACCATTGTTGAGAACTGGGTTTCACTACCAGCTAAGAAAGCTCAGTGAACCCTACAATAAAAAATTAAGGCAGAACCATGAACAGAACGTAATTCTAGTACTACATCTAGAGCTGTACCTCCCAAATCTGGGGGGATCCAGCTAACCACCTCACTTTCTCCAGAGAGCAAGAGGGGAACCGCCATACCAGCACACAGATAAGTCAGGTTTCCAGAAAAGAATTTGCTTCCTCAGTAAAGAGGCTAAATTCTGCTCTTCACTTGTGACACCCTGGGCTTGGTAAACTAGTGTCAGATTGTTATTCTGTTTCTACCTTATATTAATGCTGTTTTAGATCAGAGTGGAACTTCACTGTTTAGACCCTGATCATCCTACTAGATCTTCTCTACACCAATTCCAGCTGAATTCATTTTATTCATTCCAGCTGAATTCATTCACCAGAATTGTACACAGTATTCCTATTAGCAATGCCTTGTACAATGGCATTAATACTTCTCTCTCTACTGGAAATGCCTTGCCCGATATACCTTAGGAACACATTTGCCTTTTTTCACAACCACACCACATTAAAGCATCCTGTAACTGAACAACAAACCACGTCTCTCTCCTCCTCTGTCGCGTCCAACTGATAAGCCCCTAAGTACTGATTTTAAAGAAAAACATTTTGAATTATTAAGTCTATAATTCATTTGACACTAGATACTATTAAGTAAAAAAGAAAAAGCCAGAAATGGTTAATTTTTATTACCTGGTAATGTCATAGACAAGCAAAGCACCCGCTGCACCTCTGTAGTAACTTCTTGTTACAGACCTGAAAGGGAATTTTAAGTTGCAAAATTATGCTCCCATAATGCCTTTGTCATCTCAAGTCTGGGTTACCATTATGTGTTCCATATGGGGCTACGCTTTCAAACAATTCAGAAACTGAAGCAACTAATTAAGCAGTATTTCCTGGAGGAAGCACCTTCCACCAATGTTTTGCAATCTGCACTGGTTACCAAGTGACTTCCAGGCAGAGTTTGAACTGTGCGTTTGACCTAGGAGTTCCAAACTCTCTGGGTCCTGGCTACATGAGAGATTGTATCCACTCATTCCAGGGCAATTGTGATCATCCGAGGTGCATGAACAGTCCTCTGGTTTGCCCAACAGCAGGACATTCTCAGGAGTCTTCAGCTTTGAAATTCATTTCTCCTATTATTTGGTCTGTCTTTTGTGACCTCCAGTGGAGGTTTTCCTAAGAGGCTCTTACTGGGTATATCTACCCTGTCTGCAATATTAGCCCAGGTTCTGAACTCTGGCTCAAGCCTAGCCCCCTCGGCCATTTACAAACAAATAGCACTAACCCGGGGCGTGGACCCAGGACCCTACAGTCAAGCCAGAACCCAAGGTTCAAACCCTATTACTTTGTCTTCTGTCAAATTTCGTGAACAGTGAAGTTCTCCCACGCTGCACCACAACAGACTAGAATGGCAACATTTTGGGAGGTGCTAAAAAATCTGGGATATGGGTGTTTGGACTTGGGCCCTCATAATTCATAGACACTGGTACCCCAGGTTGGGACTTAGGGTTCAACAATTCCTAAAGATGCTCAAATCCTAGGTTAACTAACCCAGGGTCTGCTAACTTGAGTTCCACTAACCCTGGGTATGTCTACACTGCAATGAAAGTACATCGTGTTTCAGACATGATATTTTTTTAAAAATTTGCAACTTCACCAGATAAACCCAGATAAAGAGAGTCACCCAGTGTAGGTCAGTTGTAGTTTAGCTTTAAGCAACTAAAGATAATTTCTAATTGGAGTTTTGATCAACTGTTCAGTTAAAGAATATTGAAGTAGACATAACGTATCGTTGAGTACTTTTAGATAGAGGTCAATTCAAATATTTGTATCAAAACCTTCAGTATCTACATTTTAACTGGGATCCTGGAATATACCAGATAATAAATAGCCGTCTGAATCATTTAAGGGAGTGGAGAGAGGCAATGACCTTCACTTATCAAAACCAAAACACCAATGTACCTTTAACAATATATTGTACCTATACCAACATGTCTGGGACATAGACCAGTTTCTCTAGAAGTGTATTTGGCAGACTATGAATGTATTTGACAAATGTACTAGGACTATTTTTGTAAAAGACTACATCGATATTGTGATTTATTTTCTTGTATATTTTGATTGGCATATAGTTTCTTGGCACTTCCTTGTTCCAGCCAGAAGTTTCCCACACAAATCTGAGTACTCAAAATGTGATAACATGATATTTGAATTTGGTAAGCAAACTTAAGGCATGTATTACTCTATTTACATACCTTAACCATTATATAAACTTACACTACACAACCAACCGCATGAGTGGTGTTTCACTATATGAAAAACAGAAGGCTTGAACAGTAGAATGATGCTGACTTGCATCAACTGAGGAAGTCAATGGAGCTACACCAGTTTACACAAGCTGAGAATCTGACTCAGTGGAACCGAGCACTGACATAACATAGCCATGACATAAGCAGATACAACTCCAATGACTCAGACATTAACTGCACCCATTTACACCAGGGCTGAATTTGGTCCATAATATCTACACCTCCAATTTAGTATTAAATATTCTTTAGTAAAGTAAATGAAAAAGATACCTGAATCTCTCTTGTCCTGCTGTGTCCCATATCTGTAATTTTACATATTTACCCCCTACATTTATTATCTTGGAACCAAATTCCACTCCTATAGTATGATTTGAGTCATCTTTGACTAAAATAGAAAGAAAAACAGATTTAGTGCTTATTTTGAAAACATTTCAGGTTTATGATTAGATGTTTTTACATAACTTAGAAACATTTCAATATATATTCATTGTGAAGGTAAGAGTATAAACAGTGAAAGTGCCATTAAAAATAGATCTCTACCACTTACTGTAAATGCTAGATAAATCAACTTCTGTGAAGCATATGCTCCCATTTTAGGAAGGAGCAAAACTCTTCAACTGTAACCATAAAGTTACAACTTGCTTGTCAAAAGACCAGATGAATTGTACATAATCCAACGTATCTCCAGTGCCATCAATACATTTTCCCCCTCAATTTTTGAATATCCTGACCAATTCAAAATATCACTGCAGGAAAGATTCTCTTAAAATACAGCCACTTCATAATACTGAACCCACTAGCAATTTTAGGGTAATTTTAATATAATCTCTGTATGACCATGTTTCAGGCTCTACATTTTTTAAAAACAGATCAATTCAATACAACAGCAGAACACAACGGACTCAGTCTTGTCCACAAATATAGAGGCTCTATTTCTCCTGTAAAGTAAACGAATAAGCTTGTTCTTGTGCATACATACGGAGCTCATATTTCAAAATGTGCAGCAATTCACACCTGCTTAAGTACAGGAACATGCCCCAGTGCATAACTACGGGGCCATGTGAGTGTTGCATGGGTCAACCAGGAGGTTAAATAGTTTATTAACTAGCTAACAAACCGTACATAAGGCACACTGTGTATCAGAATCCCAGTTCATTTTTGTTTAAATATCATGACAATGAATGCATGACCCAAAGTGATAAATGTAAGATAAACCAATAAAAACATTAAGCACCACTACCAGAGTCAACGAAGTATCTGCTAACATGAAAGGCAGGGTTGCCTATTAGTAGGGCCCTACCAAATTCACAGTCCATTTTGGTCAATTTCACAGTCATAGGATTTTAAAAATAATAAATTTTATGATTTCAGCTATTTAATTCTGAAATTTCAGTGTTGTAATTGTAGGGGTCCTGACCCAAAAGGATTTGTGTGGGGTGATCACAAGGTTATTGTAAGAGTGGTTGCAGTACAGCTACCCTTACTTCTGTTCTGTTGCTGGCAGTGGTGCTGCCTTCAGAGCCAGACAGCTGGAGAGCAGTGGCTGCTGGCCAGGAGCCCAGCTCTGAAGGCAGAGTCACTGCCAGCAGCAGCAGCAGCACAGAAGTAAGGATGGCATGGTATAGTATTGCCACCCTTATTTCTGCGCTGCTGCCTGCGGAGCTGGGCCATCAGTCAGCAGCCCCCGCTCTCCGGCTGCCTAGCTCTGAAGGCAGCGCAGAAGTAAGGGTGGCCATAGTGCAACCTCCCTAAAATAACCTTCAAACCGCCTGTAACTCCCTTTTGTGTCAGGACCCCCAATTTGAGAAACTCTGGTCTCCTCCGTGAAATCTGCATAGTATAGGGTAAAAAAACAAAACAAACAAACAAACGACCAGATTTCACAATCCGCCACGTTTTTTTCATGGCAATGAATTTGGTAAGGTCCTATCTATCAGTCATAGCAAGAGACTAGGCATTGGGAGACAGTTGAGTTTCCTCAGGACACTCCGGTAAACTTCTGTCTGTCTCAGCTGCCCATCTAGATAAATAGCAATAAAATCTTCCCATCTTTGTGAAATGCTTCGAGAGCATTATGCACTGCCATGCCTTATAGTGGCATAGGAGTGCCTTTATAGTTAAAGGGTGAATCATGACATCTGTTTAAAGGTGGACCTTTCTAAGTTTTCTGAAATCAGCAGTCTTAGTCTGATTTCTCTTTCATCAGCAGGTAGGATTAATGACACAAATTTGGAGTCATTTCAGCCCAGAGTTCCAGAAATAGAAGCCTCCACCCCCAAAAGAGCCATTTCTTAAACATTGTTTTAGGTGGGTGGTGTTTGGTTTTTTTGTGCCCAGAGCTACAGATCAAACTGCTGATGTGATGCGAGTCAAAGGTAGTGCATTTAGTGACAACAGTATTTAAGAAAAAACATTTTTTATAGTGCGCATGTGCCAATACAGTAAAACAGCTAGAGTTTCCATTGCTGTCATCCATATGTTTTAAACTAGTCTCTTATAAGTACTCTAAAAATAAAACAGATTACTCTGAAATTTGGTGTGCCTAGTGGGGGCACAATAGTGTTAGTGATCCAAATTTGCGGTCATTTGACCAAGGGGTTCCCAAGTTACAGCACTCCACAAAATGGTTTATTTTGCTGCCTTGCACTGTTAAACTGAGAGGTACTACAAAGGGATGAATCACAGACATACCTCTTGGTGGCTGTGAACTCACCATTCAATTAACAATCATAACCCCCCACTTCAGACAAAAGGAGTTTTGAACTTAGTGGCAGAAGGTTGCTGCAATTTGAGGCTTGGGTCTGGGTCTACACTACAGAGTTAGGTTGACATAAGCCGCCTTGCACTGACCTAACTATGTAAGTGTCTACATTAAAATTTCGCTCCCACCAACATATCTGCCCCCCACTGTGTCGACTTAATAACTCAACCTCCATGAAAGGCGCAGAGTCAGTGTTGATGTAGTTAGGTTGACACAGTGCCAAGGTAGACACTGAATTGCTTACATGGACTGTTACTGGCTTTGAGAAGCCATCCCACACCGACAGTACGAAGTATCAGAGTAGCCATGTTAGTCTGTATCCACAAAAACAACAAGGAGTCCGATGGCACCTTAAAGACTGGCAGATTTATTTGGGCATAAGCTTTCATGGGTAAAAAATCCACTTCAGATGCATGGAGTGAAAATTACAGATACAGGCATAAATATATAGTCGCATATGAAGAGAAGGGCAAATATATATTTATGCCTATATATGTAATTTTCACTCCATGCATCTGAAGAAGTGGGTTTTTTACCCACGAGAGCTTATGCCCAAATAAATCTGCCAGTCTTTAAGGTGCCACTGGACTCCTTGTTGTTTAACTGACAGTACAAGCGCTCCTGGTGAGGACGTGCCTGCTGACACAAGGAGCAAAGTGTAGACATCCAAATGATGCAATTACTGCAGTGGCTGTATGCTGACATAAATTAAGTTGACTTAATTTTGTAGTGTAGACATGCCCTTGGTCTACAGTAGCAACTTATGTCCGTATAACTACGTTGCTCAAGGGTGTGTAAAAGGAAAAACAGGTATATAAAATCCACACCCCTGAATGATGCAAGTTTATACTGACCTACTCCAAATGTAGAAAGCACTGTCGACAGAAGCATTTCTCCTGTTGACTTAGCTACTGCCTCTCAGGGAGGTGGATTACCTACGCCATTGGTGTAGGAAGCGCCTTCACTGAAGTGCTGCAGCTGTGCTGCTGCAGCATTTTAAGCATAGACAAGACCTGTCAGTCGGGGGTGGCACTTTCATTTTGGAGGGGAACAAAAAGTTAGACGTGTGAAGGCTTCCCAGGAAGGGAGGAAGGTTTGTGGCTGCAATGAAGGGAGGGGGAAAAATGGAGATGGTTGGCAGGGGAGGTGAGAGAGGTTAGAGGCTTAAGTGAAGAAGGCATAGCACCCCCCAGTTCTGCCAGTGCACCCCAAGCTCCTGCAACGTGTATGCTTTTTTTTCTGAGGAGTTGGCTAAGTGTGAGAGTATATGCCAGGAGCTGGAACTCCCTGAATCTTATAATGCCAATAGCCAACGTGAATAATGAGTCATTGCTTGAAGAGGGTATAGGCAACCTGTTCTTTTTTGTTCTCCAATACTGTTAGATGAAATCCTGTGGGTGAGAGAGAATGGGCTGTAAAAGGAAGTGAAGAGCTCTGCAACTGTGGAGTTTGCAGAATAAAGGTATGTGTGTTAAGGGGGTGTATGGGAGCACTGCTGAAAGAGAAAAGAAGAGTTAAAGTTGCATGGGCAACCATAACTCCGCATTTGCTGGTTTTCTGAAGTCTCAGTTTTGATCAACTCAATGTTCTGCAAAGGAACGACATGCCACCAAGCAATGTCAACTCTGTATTAAAGTAGTTTTTTGCCAAATATAAACAAGTACAGAATAGATAAAGGTGTACTCTCACAAGTGTTGGCCCAGCCCACTCTGGCATCAGAAACATGCTAGTTTACTTTGCTTAAACACTCACTACTAGCATGCCCTAGTATGGTTTACCTGGACAATGTGAACAAGAATTATTACTGAGCATCATCGTATTGATCATCTCCCTCTAAAACAGCACAGTTTTAGAACATGGTTTTGAACACAGTTCCCAGACGAAATTCCTGTCTACACTGGTTAAAGAAATGTTGTTAGTACAAAATACTTTTAAACAGCGTTGTGGCTAGCAAAAAATGGATGTCAGTGTGGACAGAGCTTTAAAACTACTGTACAGTGAAACATCAGACACGTCACTGTGCAGACATAAATACTTACATTTCTTCTCAATAAACTGATGAAGCAAACAGGACTTGCCAGTTCCAGCATTTCCAATAACCAAGAATTTAAACAGGAAATCTGAAGAATGAAAACAAAAGAAGTGCAAATATGAAAGTGAAGAGAGCCAACTATGAGACATTTACTGCTGTTTTAAGATCTGCTTTTTGCCTTGTCAACAGACCAAGTAAATAAGGGTAAGGAGAAAACAAGTCTTCAGTCAGCCAGCTGCCACTAGCTGTTATTCTAAAGAGGAGGAATAGATAGGAAACTTAGGAAAACGGCCATAAAGATAAGGTAGCAATAAAGGGGTTAAAAGAGTTATAGCACCACGTTTATGGAGCTATAGGGATAGATAACTAAAAAGCAGAGAAGGTGGATTAAAAGGGCAATTTAAAGAAAAAAAACAAAGGCATAGTAAGATAGGTGGTCTTTAAAGATGTTTTTCATAGTATCCCCACTTTTCACAATGAGAACCCTAAACACTATTTGAAAGTCATTTCAAGTTGCTCAGACATTACAACACAGTTCTTGTACATGAAGATGTTTCTGTAAAGTCAAAATGAAAGTCATACTGAAAGTCCTAGGAATTGATTCCTATCATTGATTCCGATCATAAAATGTAGAAGTGATATTACTTAGAAGTAATACCATTTCCATGCCTCTTGGCCATTAAGAGCATAAGAGGTGATTTATTTTAAACACATGAAAACTGATCTGCTTCATGTAACAGTTCTTACATCAAGAGAACACAGAAAAAGTCAACCTTAAGACAGTCAAGAGAAAATGAAGCATTGGTATTTGTAGTATCAAGAACTAAAAAAATTCACCATGATGCTGAACAAAATCAAAACACCATTTAAGATATATTGATACACAAAGTGGTTGTTAGAGTTCAGGGAAAAAAACTGTGGCATAACCATATTACAAATCAATAAACTGTTGGATTCAAGATACATAAGCCATTTGTAAGGAATAAATAAGTTTAGTATTATAACAACACCTACTACAAAGAAATTAAGAAACTCAGTTTTTAAACTGACATACTTCACTTTAAAAAAAAAAAAACCCAAAACAAAAAAACCCAACACACAATACTGAGCACTACCACCTCCAGAAATTCGTCACCCTTTAGCTTGATGTTCTGTAGATAGTTAGTGTGGTCATGCATTTGTATCATCAATCCATGTGCAAAACCCTTGAGTTGTGCTGTTATGCTTGGATTAATGAAAACAAATTAAAAGGGTATGTGTATTAATTACACAACTCCATATTCTACTGTAATATATAGAAAAACTTGTTTCAGATACAGAAAATATGTACAGGCTTAAAAAAAAAGTTATATATTCCAGGATCACTGCCTTCACATCTCCCTTAAAAATTAAGCCACTTCTGTGCCATGAAAAGTGATTCAGAAATAGAAGTTAACTGAATAATTCTTTATATTTGGCTCATTTATATGTTCAGTATTTGTGCTCTGCCCACACCTGCTTCACCCTTCCCTTATGGAACTACTTTCACTGTTTGCTTATGACAAGGAAAGGAAAGATTTTTTCCCCCAACATTTAAGTCTGATATTAATAAATTTTCTCATATCAATTTCCCAATACATGGCAATAAAGATTAAATTTGGCATGTTAATTCAGGGTGGATTGAATTAATATTTTTAAAAAAAATTGAACTTAAGTTTATTTTTAAAAGTAAGCCTAATTATGACCTGTGTTGAGACCTAAATTTACTATAACCTATTAAAATCATTTATGTTAATAAAAGATATTAATCAGTACATGTTTGTTACCAAGTTTTTTTAAAAAAGTCAAACCACTGGTCTGGTGGAAGGCACCAGCTAAATACCAGGACAGAGTCTGCTAAAGTGCCGTCAGCTTTTGACAACTAGCCTTTTCTGCAAGTACCAAGACAGTATTTTTGTCATTTCCGTTTATTCAACTGTTCAGTTCCATGACTAGTTATTTCAAAGGTAAAAAACAGATTTGAAGTTGAAAAAGCAGAAAGCTTGGTTCTCTCTTCCAATCTATGATTAAAAACTAGGTGCGAAAAGATATCTACTAGTTTGAAAATCTTGAAGGACAAAGTAACAAGAAACAACTAGTCCAACTCACTAAACTACAGGTAATAGTCACTTTGGTTAATCAATCAGTTAGCTTTAGGGAATGATTCTTTGTTACGGTGCATCATTAAGCATTTTATTTGTGGTGGTTTTGCTATTCCTATAAATTTCTCAGTGTTTATAAAATCCTGCTGTTGAAGAGTAAATGGGAAGACAGAACAGAAGACTGATGCTTGGATGTTCCCATCCCTCTTATGTCTGTAAAACTTTCCTCCAGAATGTATTCATCTCTACAATGACAGCGTACACCGTCACTGTTTTATGGTTGTGTTTTGCCTTTTTGGGGCCACACATGACGTTAGAATTATATCAAAGCATTATATTTTCTGCTAATTTGAGATGTTTGACTTACTCACAGGTATAGGATCACTCTTCCTCACTACATTCTGTTCCCAAATTCTTCTCCCAGTTAAACTTCACTCCTCCATCCAGCTATTCTTGCTTCCTTTACAGTTACACAGGAGGGTTTTTTGTTCTAGTTGATGGGCATTCTGGATAGCGTCTTCCCCAGTGGACTGAAAGGTAGGGCTTCACACAGTGTATATCACTGGTTCCTAGGCGCCTTTATTTGGCCTACAGTTCTTCTCCCAACTTCTGTATTACCAAAATGCATGCTTTTCAGAAGATTTCATTCTCTGGGCCATCTGGAAAGCCTCCAAGACTACTGCCTGTGTCAAACTGTGACATTTATCATAAAATCCCGCAGTGTCCCAAGATGGCATCAGCTGACAGCTTTGTAGATATCTGACAAAGTTTTTAAATTCAGATTTTTCCCCCCACTTAAGAATTAACACAAGCTTTTCAAAAGAACGTTGTATCTTCATTGTGATCAGTTTGGTTCAATACAGTCTCCCAGATTTAAAGTATATCAGTGACTTTAAACCCATATTTAAAATCAAGTAGTCTTAGGTAATACACTTAGCTAAGGCTCCTTGTCAGATTTTGTAGTTAAAAGAAAAGGGGGGGGGAGTGTTAAATCCCCACCACCACATTGTGTGAAAGAGCCACATCAGACACAGTGAACCTGACTATACAAAAACAAATACAAATAAATCTGTTAGTCTCTAAGGGGCCACAAGGACTCCTCGTTGTTTTTACTGATACAGACTAACATGGCTGCCCCTCTGAAACCTGACTATACCCTGTGCATTTGATAGCACTTAGTGTATAAACTAAAAAAAAAAAAAAATGAAAGATATTTTCCTCTTTAACCTTTTTCAGTTACAAATAACCTCTACAATTACTCTAACAGTTGTACTTAAAAAATTTGTCTGAAAGTTTGAAGATGATGGTATCCCTTCAAATTCTACTCTGAAAAGTGAAAATGGCATTTTGGTATTCCAGGGTTGTCTCTTATTATTTGTATCATACTAGCACAGAGGGCCAAATCAGGATTAGGGTCCCATTGTGCAGTATAATCACAATAGGAGACAGTCCATGCCTCAAACTTTTTGATATCTAAACAGTCGACTCCAGATCAAATTTAGTTTACAATTTAATTTTTTACATTTTTTTTGAACTGCCCGTTTAGCAAACACTGATTCAAATGAGCTGCAACAGTGAGGTTAACGTGTAAATTGAAGTATATATACACACACATCTCTTTATTGAAGATTTTGCTACTAGAACGTATGTTGAGAACACCAGCATAGAATCCATCTTATTTCCACATAGCTCTTTTCATCTTACAGTAAGTATGAACAAAACCAAACTTTTTGTCAGTGACAAACATAGATATGTTTCAGAGTATACACTAGGAGCATATCTGTGGAGTAAAAATGCTACAATAATGTCTTTTGGATGAGTTGCACAAGTTGAACACACATTATTAAATGGAAATTTTTTTACACAAAGTGCACAGACTTAATTTCACCACATGCCCTTTGTCCATACATTATGCAACAGGTAAAAAGAGAAGAGAGTACTTTTCACTCTGCTGTTTTGGCAAACTCCTCTCACAAAGATCCATGCTACACTCCAGGTACAATCGTGTCAGAAGACCGTTACGACTCCATTCCATTCTGTAATTTAGACAGGATTTAACTGTTTTGAACTGTCCTTGACCTGCGCTGACACAGCCAAAGCTTTAACATGATTCAGAAACATGGTTTTAGTCCTGTCTACCCTACGAAAATGGGTTTTAACGCATCCCCTTGGTCCAGCTATAATTTCAGCATACACCAGTCTTTACTCAAACTCAGTGAGGAACAAAATTGATTTCTATATGCTCACTCCATGTAGTATTAGAGCACTGAAAGCAATTTACATTTAGTGCTTCTACTGCTGCTGAATTGCCTGAATGTCTTTTCAGTCATCTCTTCCCAGAGCAGAACTGGAAGCAAAAACACTTTGCAAGTCACTTCATTTTGTGGTTTGTTTTCTCTTTCTTCACAACTGACAAAGAAACCTTAGTTCCAACATTCCATTCAGCTGTCATCCTAGAGGAGCTTCTGTCTTAAATTCTGTCATTCTTTCTGGACAGCGCAACTGAAAGAAGAAGGTCACTCAGACATTACACAAAAATTTGCTGCTATGGCTAAAAGAAAAGTTTAGAAATGTTAATCTTTGGTTGTAGTTAAGATCCTCATAACACAGAGAAGGTGGTTTAAAAACAAATCTTCAGAAAAAAAGTAACTATATGGCATGCACCACAGAGAGTTTCAGATGACAAGAAATACCATCATTAGTCACAAAACTGGTCAGCATGGTAGTGGCGGCTGGGAGCCCGCAGCCCTTTAAATCACCCCCGAGCTACCAGCTGCAGAGGCAGCTGGGAGCCCTGGGGCTTGGAGGCGATTTAAAGGGCCCAGGGCTCCAACTGCCGCTACTGCAGCGGAGCCCCAGGCCCTTTAAATCACTGAGGAGCCCTGGAAGCTCCCAGCTGCCACCACTATCCCGGGGCTCTGGCAGAACTTTAAAGAGCCTGGGGCTCCGCTGTGGTAACAGCTACCAGAGCCCCAAGCCCTTTAAATCCCTGCCTAAGCCCTGCTGCCCGAGCCTTGGGGTAGCGGTGGCCGGGCTCCATTGGGGATTTAAAGGGCCCTGGGGCTCCAGGCACTGCTACCGTCCCGGCCCTTTAAATGCCCGCTGGAGCCCCGCCACTCCCGCTACCCCAGGGCTTGGGCAGCAGGGCTCAGGCAGGGATTTAAAGGGCCCCAGGGCAGTAGCAGCTGCTGGAGCTCTGGGGCCCTTTAAATCCTTGCCAGAGCCCCGCCGCTGCTACCCCAGGGCTCAGGCAGCAGGGCCCCGGCGGGGATTTAAAGGGCCCCGGCAGGGATTTAAAGGGCCCTGGGGCACTAGCAGCGGCTGGAGCTCTGGGGCCCTTTAAATCCCCGCTAGAGCCCCACCAGCTACCCCAGGGCTCAGGCAGCAGGGCCCCGGCGGGGATTTAAAGGGCCCCGGCAGGGATTTAAAGGGCCCTGGGGCACTAGCAGCGGCTGGAGCTCTGGGGCCCTTTAAATCCCCGCTAGAGCCCCACCACTGCTACCCCAGGGCTCGGGCAGCAGGGCTCAAGCAGGGATTTAAAGGGCCCCGGCGGGGTAGCAGCAGCGGAGCTCTGGGGCCCTTTAAATCCCTGCCGCAGCCCCACCGCCGCTACCCCAGAGCTTTAAATTGCCCTCTGGGAAAGCCGGTCCTGGTATGGCGCACCGGCTCTTGTCTGTACGCCATACCGGGGCGTACCGGCTTACTTTCACCTCTGATCAAGCTATGCCATGAGCCAGGACCTGTTTGAGACTCCACTGCAGTCAAACACAGGCAAGTCCAATGCAGGAGAAGGAACCTCAAGTAAATGTGTTATTGTACTTACCCTTACAATGATGTCCTGTTAAGTTGAGGATGCGCTCAATACGACTACGAACTGCCCTTTCCCCTCTCTAGGGCAGGAGGAGAGCACTACAACCCTCAGCTACAGTGGTAAGCCAGACCAAGCGGCAAGAAGATGGCCATGCTGGGCACAGGCCCTTTGATTGCCTTAACTTTGTCCTGTAGCGTGCTTACATAGACAAGATATCACTGTTCTCTTGTCCTCTTTCCCCATTCCCTCCTATGGTTTTCTATACTTACATATTTTATCTTTGATTTTAAGCATTTTGGACATAGGCTCCGTACAAACTTATAGAAAGACATGATCTAGCACAAGACTCTAATCCTAATTAAAATCTCTGAGCACTGTCACAAAAGTAACAATCACCTCCTGCTAAAACAATGGATCTCTGATGTTCCTTCTGAATCCCTTTAAAATACAACAGTATTAAGTGTCTACTTAAGATTCAAGGCCTGAATTTCACCAACAAGTCAAATAAATCACCAGTTCTCAACACTGAAAAAACGTATTAAACTAGGCATTCTAATTGTAGGCTGCTTGTACTGAGCACCAAAGAGAAGGACCACGGTGAAATCCAGGAAGCTGACAACACAGGTAATGTATTTTAGTGTTTGCTTGTTTCACAAACGTAAAGAAAAAGTCTGGCTGAAGGATAGGAGCTAAAAACCCGCTGCCAAACTGGGTCAGGCCATGAGTCCATCAAATTTCCTGTTCTGTCTCCAGCTGTGGCCAACTCTTCCTAATTCAGAAGGATGCAAATCTCCCCCCCCCCCGGGATGATAAAGCACCGAGGGACCCGCGCAGCGCTGCGCCCAGAGAGGAAACTGCTCCTGCTGCATCCCACACGCTGGGGCCGGGGAGTCGATGGCCCCGGAGCCACCCGAGCTCCCGCATAACCACCGGTGCTCCCAGACCCGTCCCGCAGTACCGGCAGCCGCTGACATCCCCTGCCCCGCCCCCCCCACCGGGCCGAATCGCCGCACAGAGCGCGGGCATCGCCTGCGGGCCGGCCGCAAGGGGGCCCGGCACCTCGCACGGGAGAGCAGGGAGCGAACCCTCCGGGGCCCCGCAAGCGCAGAGCCGCCCGGGCAGCGCCGCGCCCCGCCAGCCCCGGCCCGGCTCCTACCATAGGTCTCGGACATTGCTGTCTGCGACATTTTGGAAGCGTCGCGCCTTCGGCTGATGCTGAGCGAGGGCCTGGGGGGCGCCTCAGGACGCCAGGTACAAATGGCCGGGGTGGGGGGGGGCGAGTCCCAACAGCGGCCGCCGCTACAAACCCCCCAACCCGAGAAGCTTCCTCAGCAGCAGCAACTGGTTCGGAACGGGCACGCACTGCCACATCTGCGCATGCGTGCGCACGCAGCTCTTCACCCCCCTACCTCTCGGGGCGTGGTCTCTCCTCCACACATGCGCATTGTCTGCCCTTCTCCGCCCTCCTCCCCACCCTCAACGGCTCTCACCAAAACAGAGCGCACGTGCGTGGCTTAAGAACGAGCCGCGGAGGCCGTTGGGGGTTGAGCAGGGGATGTGGGCGTGGCTGCCTGCGCAAGGGACAGGTGACGGAGGGCGAGGAGGGAGGGGCTGGGCGCGGCTGGGGGAGGGCCAGTAACTGTGTGGGAGGCACGTGAGTGGTGTCGCTTCGTCAGCCCGGGTGCGCGATAGAGGGGACCCTTCCGCCCGCAGCGCCGCTTCTCCTGTGCTGGCCTGGGCAGCCACCTGGGTATGCCGGAGTGGGGTGGCTGGGGCGGGTGGCTCCTGGGCCCTGAGGTGCCTCTTTACACGGCCTGAGGCCAGGCTGGCTACCAGGAACCTGAGGGCTGCCAGCAATTTGATTCTAGTGGACAGCACCCCCCCACCCCCCTTGGGTGCTTGTGGCTGCCGGTGACACACGCACTTAAAATGGTTTCAGAGTAGCCACCGTGTTAGTCTATATCTGCAAAAAAGAAAAGGAGGACTTGTGGTAAAAGAATAAATGGACTCAAATCAGACCTCAAGAATTATAACATTCAAAAACCGGTCGGAGAACACTTCAGTCTCTCTGGTCACTGGATTACAGAAACCTAAATGTCACAATATTACAACAAAAAACATTCAAAAACATACTCCCAGGAGAGACTGCTGATTTGGAATTAATTTGCAAACTGGACACCATTAAATTAGGTTTGAATAAACACTGGGCATGGATGGGTCATGACACAAAGTAAAACTGTTTCCCCATCTTTATTCCCCCCCTACTGTTCCTCACACATTTTTGTCAACTGCTGGAAACGGCCCACCTTGATTATCACTACAAAAGGTTTTTTTTCTCTCCTGCTTGTAATAGCTCGCCTTACCTGATCACTCTCATTACAGTGTGTATGGTAACACCCATTGTTTCATGTTCTCTGTGTATATTAAATCTCCCCACAGTATTTTCCACTGCATGCATCCGATGAAGTGGGTTTTAGCTCACGAAAACTTATGCTCAAATAAATTTGTTAGTCTCTAAGGTGCCACAAGTCCTCCTTTTCTCTTTTTCACTTAAAATGAGTTTCTCAAGATTGTCTGATTAATAGAGCTGCTGACCTCAAAGGACATTCATGTCTCCACATCAAAGGCCTTATATTAAACATGGCCCCCACACCTAGGGGATTGTGATGATTTTTGTAAATGGTTAGATTTGTGAGTTCTTGATGATCCTTGATAATCAGTCTCCACCCAACCTCCCCAGAAATCAGACACAAGTGTGCTGAAGCAAATTTCAAGTTTGTACCTCAAACCACTATGTGGATGAATGGCTAAAATCCCATAAGAAAGGTTGGTGACCTCTGATGGAAAGGTCAAATTATGGAATAATCTAATTCAGGACATTTAAATGGTAAAAATCTTACTACATGTTTACAAACTGATTTAATGTACAACAAAAATGTTGGAAGGGATATTAAATCTTGTGCTTCAGGGATTAAGCCATTCCCAAACTATTAAAGATCAGGGGAGACCTCTGTGGGAGGCAGATTATTCCATACTGCCTATTATGGGGTTCTTACACTTTGCTCTGAAGCATCTGGTACTGGCCGTTGTCAGAGACAAGATGAACCTGTAGTCTTCTCCAGTATGGCAATTCCTGTGTTCCTAAACTACAGCATTTTATTTTTTAATGTATTTATAGGTCACTTTTATATTATATTGCAGCTTCCAAAGTCTACAAAAATTTATATCATAGTTAACATAAATGCAGGAGACAGGATGGCTCAGAGGTTGGTTACAGGTGTTCTTGCCTTTCACTTCTAGGTGGCTGGCTCAAATTCAGCACTACTCAGAAATGAATAAAAGTTATTACTATCTGTTGGCTGTCCAGTAGCTTCTTGGAAATGCGGGAAGAGGTATCAACGTAAAGCCAAGTAATCGTAGTAATAGACATGGTCTCGTAGGCACCTATTCCATGGGTGCTCCAGCACTGGAGCACCCATGGAAAAAAAATTAGCAGGTGCTTAGCACCCACCTGCAGCCAAGCTTCCCCCACCCCGCCAGTGCCTTGTGTCTGCCGATGGCCCCACTGATCAGCTGCTCCCCCTCCCTCCCAGAGCCTCCTGCCCACCATGGATCAGCTGTTCCATGGGATGCAGGAGGTGCTGGGGGAGGAGCAGGGATAGGACATGCTTGGGGGAGGGGGCAGAGGAGGGGTGTGAATGGGAGGGAGATTGGGGGAAGGGGTGGGGTGAGGGCAGGGCCTGGGGTAGAGCAGGGGCAGGAAGAGGCAGGGCTAGGGTGACCATACATTCCGTTTTGGCCAGGACAGTCCCTTTTTTAAGTCCTGTTCCGGCTGTCCTGACTTTTTTGGCACAAGTGGGCATTTGTCCCATTTCCTCTTGCCAACTTGATCAGTTGGCAAGAGCAAATGGGACAAATGCCCACTTTTGTCAAAAAAGTGGGGTGCTGTGCAGAGGCATGTGAGGTGGGGAGGTGAGTGGAAATGCCAGTCCCACTCGGTGGGGGAGGCAGGGCTGGGGGATTGGCAGCGTTCCAGCACGCGGGGGGCCGTCAGGGTACCAGCGACTGGCAACAGCCTTGTGGAGAGGGGGGCCGGCGGCTTGGGTGAGTGACTAGGGATGTCCCATTTTCCCTTTGGGAAATATGGTCACCCTTGGCAGGGCATGGGTGGGGGTTTGGGGAAAGGGGTCTGGAGCTGAGCAGGGGTTGAACACCTCCAGGGAAAGATGGAAGCTGACACCACCTGTCTATGGTCTAGGGCCCTAGTCCTGCAACAAGCTCCAGACTGGTGAACATCTGCATCTAACAGCCCCATTGACTTCAGTGGTATTCAGAAATGATGTTTTGTCAAAGTTGCAAACTGAAACTTTATTAATAAATTTAAATAGGTCTGGAACTTGTCTGGTTTATTTACATGGCTTTTTGCCATACTCTGATATATTATGTCATTTTTATGAATCAATTAATAAGGTCTAGATTCTGTAAGTCAGTACCTTTTGTTTTTAAAACATTGTTTCAGTGGGCTGTGATGGCTTTAACATAATATTATGCTGAGTTATTATATGTTGCATTCATAAATATTGATAATAAGGGTTTTAAAGAGGCACCATCTGCTTGAAATTTGGTAAATTTCAGTACCTTAGTAGTTTCAGGTAGGAAACCTATTTTTGTCATTTTAAAACACCTCTTTAAAACACATAAGCAATAGAAGAAACTGACTGAATAGCTACCTGATTATATAGGGTAAAACAGTGAAACCTGATTACACACACTTAAAATGCACAAAGTAAACAGACGGGGGTGGGAGGGAGTCAAATAAATTTTTCCTCCATTTCCATTCAGGTATTGTAATCTTAAATGTTACTTGTAACAATAGTAAGTTAAATATCTATATCTATGTCTATATACATGTACACACGCAGGAGTTTGTTTTACATTGCTTTTCCCTTTAATGAGTCAACATTAGTATCCTCTTTCCATTGTCAATAGTGTCCCCTGGTGGTTGATAAATTGTGTGATCCCTTTGTCTAACCATCTGAAGAATTGTTTCAGAGTAACAGCCGTGTTAGTCTGTATTCGCAAAAAGAAAAGGAGTACTTTTGGCACCTTAGAGACTAACCAATTTATTTGAGCATAAGCTTTCGTGAGCTACCGATGAGCATCCGATGAAGTGAGCTGTAGCTCACGAAAGCTTATGCTCAAATAAATTGGTTAGTCTCTAAGGTGCCAAAAGTACTCCTTTTCTTTCATCTGAAGAATGTGCTTCAGGGCTAGATGGAGAAGGAGGTTGCCATGGATAGGCAACAGTGGAGAGGGACATGAATAATAACTCAAATGTTCAAATTAGAAAAGTGTGCTTTAGAAAGGAGTTTTCAATAATGGCTGAAAGATAGTAGTAATGTATGAGGTAATCCTTCTGAAAAAGACCCATAGAACTTAATCTTATAATAATCCTATATAGTTTAATAACAGGTTTCAGAGGAACAGCCGTGTTAGTCTGTATTCGCAAAAAGAAAAGGAGTACTTGTAAGGTGCCACAAGTACTCCTATAGTTTAATAGGAAGTGATAACTTTTCTAAAGATTTTTTAAAAAAAGTATATACAGTGCAATAGACAATTGTATTCTTGGTTTGTATAAGATAATTTAAAAACCACCTATGGAAAGGATCCATATTTTTAGAGCAACTTCTATAGAAATCTATTACATTTCCATAGAATCTTACTGTTTTCATATTTTTAAAATTTTGTAGGGCTTTTCCAAAGGAGAGAAAAGGTAGAATTTTAAAATTGTGCTTAGAAATAGATAATTATTCAATACTGATTCAAATAATTTTTGTGGGTGTACATGATACCAGTTAGTACATTTTGCTTTGTTGGGCAGTTAGTAATAAAGGCCTGATCCTGGAATCTGTGGAAGTTTTGAATATGTGAAGAGTGGGGTAGTTACCCCTAAGGTAATTTGGTCAAGAAAATCCTCTCTAATTCGCCATTTGTAGAGGCCAGTGGTATTTTAATCAGGGCATTTAATGAGCTTTAGAAAAATTTTAATGTTTTTGTGCTGAGATTTAAATAATTTACATATATAAAGAAATGAAGCCGATTCTTAATAGGGTGCAACTCTGATTAGCCAAACATTAATTATCTGATAATCTCTGTTACCCAAAATAGGGTCATATCCCATGACAACATTTAATTAAATTGAAAACTCCCTTGATTACCTAAAAAACCTCAATTATTCAAACTTATTGAATATCCCCAATGTTACTAGAAGTTGTACTGTATTTATAAGGAAACATAAGAAGCTTTGCACACCTCTCCCTACCACTTCCCCATGCAGTGGTGCTTTCCCGGGGGCTCCCCAGAGGCGGCGACATCCCCCTCACTCAGCTCCTA